ACGTCGACGTCCCACCCGCCTCGTATGCGAAACTACCATACCGTACATGTACACGCACACGCTCCACGTACCACACACACACGCGCGCGCGCGCGCACACACACAGGCACACGTACATGCATACACGTACGCGTGAACATGCGCGCATATTCAAAGCCGCACTGTCAGACCGGACACGAAACTTTGCTGGATCGCCTGCCGTGATCCGCGAGTCACGAGACGCGATACGCGTGTCAGGATCGGCTCCGCGAGACGATCGCGTGCGCAGATGTATTAGCAGATTGTTGTTGCAATTTAACATTATGTGATTAGCGTGGCGCACTGCGTGATAGCACTTAGTAAATTGGCTCAAATCAAATAGTAACGATATTCAATGATGACGGCATCTTAGTCTTAAAATATTTGCGAATATTTTAATGTAAATTTTTATCTTAACGTAGATTTCTATCTTCATGTGAACTCATACCTGGGTACCATGGATGGAATATTTAAGATTTTGAGATTTCGTGTTTGGGACGCTTGAATTTTTGCGAACATCGCATTTTAACTTAGAAACGTTAAAATGTGATGTTATCTGGAGCATATTGCAGGATTTTCAAATTTAAACGTTCTGAATTTTGGGGGCATTAACCTTTATAATTTATATTACTTTTCGTAATCGGTATTTCATACCAAATTAAATCTGCGTATTTATTACATTTTCATCTAACAGTATTTTCGTATATGAACATATATTTTATTTAGTTTTCAATTAAAAAATATATAATATTAATTTCAACAGGTATCAATATAATATAATAATTTTGATAAGTTCTTGATTCTATTGGAATCTACATACATAAAAATCAGCTCAAAAGGGTTCATTAAAATATATGAGACTAAAATATATGAGATATTACAAAATATATGAGAAAAAGGATTTTATATAATCATATTATCCTTTACATTTTACATTTTACATTTCTCTGTGAGTTATCGTCGCTTTTTTTATGCCGTGGGCGTAAAAAAGAACCCCGTGGTTCCTGCTTGAGAACCAAGCGGGGAACGTCAAATGTAAACGTGTCGCGCAAGAGAATCCCTTGACAACGAGAAATTTAAAGTCCGTTCGTGAAATTCGAGCATCTTCGCGCCGGGAGTACGCGCCAGATACGAGCATCCTCGAATTTAAGGATGCTCGAACAACTGTTGCGTGCATCCTTCGCAGCTTCTTCCGCGTCGTCTCACCTTCCGCACGACTGCTCGCACAGCATGCGTCGCGGCGCATCGCGGCGCATCGCGTCGCGCCGCTCCGCTCTGCTCTGGAATATGCGCGGCGGACTCGCGCGTGCGAGAGGTCGCCGCGGGCGTACGGGACGCCCGACGTCGCGACGTACGGCGTCGCGGCAACGGGTACTGAGCGCCGCGCCGTCAGTTTGCGTCTGCCTAGGGTCGCGACGTCCTCGTTCACCACGTACCACTGAGATCGCGCCTCGTCGCTTCCGTATACGCGATCGAACATCGACGGCCGACGACGTCATCTCGTCGACGACGTCCCGACGAGGGACGCCAGAAATATATCGTAACGCTCCGATCGCGATCGATAGATCATAGGCCACGTGACCGATCGCCGCAAGCATCTTTCCTTTCCGTTTTACGGCGATCGACTGGTCCGGCGGGGGAAGTTTGAGGGAATCCTCGGGTATTCCGGGGGTGAACCTGAGAATTCTCAGAATTCTCCCAGGATCCTTGAGAGTCCTTGGAGAAGTTTGCGAGATAAGTCGGGACTTTGCGAACACTCCGGAAGCAACTCGGAGCGTCTAAGATATCTCAAAAGTTTGAGGAGACATAAGAAAGCTTGCAGATTTTTGGATAAGTTTACGAGATGGCGAATTAGTTTGTAAAAAGCGCGAGGAAAGTCGCAAGTTTTTGGAAAGTAGATCTCGAAATTCTGCGACGTGTAAAGCAGTTCGGAAGTGTTTGGAACATTATCAAGAGCCACTGAAAACTCTAAGGAGTTTTCAAGAATCTTTAGACGTCTAGGCGGGGAGGATCAGAAATTCTTTCGCAGTCTGCGAAAATTCCTGCGAAAGATCTAACACAATTTCAATTCTAGCTTTTGAGAAATTGTGTTCCAAGGTTACCATACAACTTTTTACGTCGCGTAGATTTTTGATCACGTGACTGGGGAGTTTCAAAACTTTCAGGAATCTACCCTGAAGGTGTGCACCGCGTTTTATTTACATCAAGAGAAGACTTTTATCAATATTTTTTAATGAGACCTAAAGGACTCTCCGATCGAAGTAAAATTGATTAAAAGTGAAATCAAGTAAAGAATTAACTTTCTCGTGCCTCGTGCGTTTCATGCTCTATCTATCTATTATCGAGGACTTTCTATGGAATCTCCATTGCAAATTCTCAACTGACGAGTGTTTCTCTAGGACTCCGTTTGAATCTTTACCGGAGGATATTTTCGCTCCGCGCTTCGAGAACCTTAAAGTGAAAGGGCTTGACGTTTAAAGGGCTTCTGGTTATCCTGCCCCGTCATGACTCCGAGGAGTTCTGTTTGAATAGTCCTGAATACAGTAAGAACGACATAAGTGGAATTATCGAAGATCAATAAAGCCTTGAAGTTGATCGATCAGCAGCCCGATATTTTTGAGGAATCGGTGAATTCAATTCGACGACTCGGGGGACAGGAGTAGATGGATCTATTTTGATATCTAACAGAATTGTTTTCTTCTCTCTACAGAAATTTTGGTGAGTAATGATTTTCAATTATATTTACATATTGAATAAAACGCGGATATTTATATGTTGAATAAAACACGAATATCAAAATAATATTTCTAATTGTATATATAATATATTTTTTCTCTTTTTGTTATATTTACGATCGTATAAATTGCTAATAAAAATTTTCATATAAAAATAACAAAGTTATCAATTATGTATTAGTTTATTAAAAATGCAAATTACTATATTAATTTTGCATTTCTGAAAAAGAATTATATAACAAGTAATTTAGAAGAGTAATTTAAGTAAAAAAAGAATTATTTAGTCGGTTATATATAATTTTTACATAAATATAAAAATATATTTCAGCGAAACATATACAGTGAATGTAAAAAATCTATATATTCTTCGTGACTATCTAATTGCACTGACATTTGAGCATTCAAACATCAGAAAAATATTGAAATATTTTTGTTAATCCACGAGCAATTTAAATTTAAGAGCATAAAATCCAAATCCATTTACGGATTCATGGAATTTTTATCGTGTAATTTATCACATACCCCATGCTACACTCTCGAACATATACCGCCTCGTATTGTCACTTGTTTCGAGCAACGTAGTTTTACATAGTAATAACATAAATATTCAAATATTCACAAATGTAAATATTCCAAACACCCAGAGTAATAAAATAAATATCTGAGTAAAATGAAAAAAATACCCACGAAATATTCGTGGATATTTAGCTATTCTACAAATTACAATATATAATATGTACGTATGTATATCCTAAGCAAATTCCAAGAATATTAGAGAGCGGGAGAGGAGATACGCATTTCATTTTTTATTTTTCAAATAACGGAATATCAGTCGATTCGCGAATTTCAAACGCACGAAAATTTGAACGCATTTACGGATTAGCGAGTTTTAATCGTGTCATTTATTACCACGTGCCACGTTATATCCTCGAACGTACACCGCGCCGTATTGTCGTTTGTTCCAAGCAACGAGCTAGATTACTGCTGGGTGAAGAACTTCACAACTTAATTCTCTTTCGCGTCGCGCAGCAGCTGCGAATATCAGTCTGCGCGATTGCTCGCGAGCTTACGCGCCTCACTCGCGCAAAATCTCCGGCTCCGGACGAGCTGCAGCGCGAAACTTGGCACTAAACTCCCGCATTACCCTTGTCGTTCGCTTTCGCAGACTAGACGACGGACGTACTCACTGCGACGTAAAACTCGCTTCCCGGAAAATTCGTTATCAATTTCTGCTTATCAGGACGTGCCGTCGCCGTTTTCGAATAAGGACCCGTTCATCCGCTCGGACGAAACCCTGAGAACGCGCGGCACGGGGATTAACTTGAAATCAGCGCCGCGGCGTGTACTGATTACGAACAATCGTAATTAAATTCTTTCCACGCTAATGACTGCTGGCACTTGAGCTCCGTGCAAATGATATTTAAATTAGCACGCGTCCCGTATACTAATCAAAGCCGAATCTCTCCTCCGCGCCACGGACGTGCTCCCTTTCCGCCGAATTATTAATTAATATCTCATTACGATCGCATCAACTTGGCGCGATTTATCTGGGAAAAATCGGATCTCGGGAAAATCGTTTGAATAATAATCTCAATAATTTTGCTTCGCAAAAGAATTATTACCGTCATTATATACGTTTATAATAATTTCATATTAATCCTGAATTGCAGTAAAGTATCATTGATATACTTTTTAGTTTTAAAAATATATTTTTTATAATTAGGAAAATCGATCACGATTTGAAAATTAACAATCAGTTTCAAATTTTGATCGGATTGTAAATTATCGATATAATATATAAAATTTTATGATTAAATTAAATTTAATTGTTCTTTTTTTTTTACAAAGATTTAAGATTTTTAATAAGTCTTTAAAATTTCTTGAATGTTTTAAGTATTAGAAATTTGAATAAAAATATCTGATATAATAATCATTTTAAAATAACAAGAGAGGAATATATTATTCAGAATCGCGTGGAATATTTCGGTCTATATCGGACTATTTTGAACTCACCTTGCGCGGTCGCTTGCGTCAAGGTAAATATTTCACGCAGTTTATTAGAAGTATGTTTACGAAACGAGAATAAGTGGCTTCTTTGAGAAATCGTTAAACAATCATGATTGCTTATACAGGGTCTCGCAAGCGTTGCAATTGCTCGCTAAAGTAACCGTCTGCTAATACCTATACACGAAAATTTTTCAGATGCTGAAGAAAAACAATCGATCGTGAAATCGATGTTAACCATAAGCTTCGTTTCACGCAAAAGCAGATTCTCGAAAAGATTAATAATAATCATTTGTACCGAGAAGAGTTGGAAGCAACAAAAAAATTACTATCTATGTTTTCACAGTGACTTTTCAAACGTATACAATTTTATATATTCTATAAATATAAATAATTATTATATTTATTAATTATAATTTTTTAATTTGAACTTGACCATCTTTTTCTATAGAAAGAATTTGAATTAAATATCATTTTTTTCAAACTATGCTTTTCTATATTTATGAATGTTTAACATTTTAAACACGCTAGTTAATTTAAATTATAAATTAATATTTTATTTTTACAGAATCGATTTGTTATAAATTTGTTTAAAGTGTATAAAAAGTAAATTTTAATAACTTTTAATAAAGTCTCAAGTACTGTTAAAAAAATTTATTTTAAATTGTTTAAAAAATATTTTCTTAAATAGATAAATTATATGTACATGTATATATAAAATGAATTAAAAAGTATGCAGAGAAAATATCAAAATATAAATAAAAATTAGAAAGTAATCGAGAACAATTTATTATATATCTAGGTTAACCGTTTTATTCATTATTTTATTCATTTATTTAATTATTCATTTTTTTATTTTATAAATAAAAACGTACTATTTAAACAAGTTTTATTTAAAGAAATTTCGACTTTTTTTGCTCTTAAAAAAAAAAAATCAAGGTAGATGAAAAGAAATGTGATCTGAATAAATAATTTTTCGATCAATATAAAATTAACAATGTAATATTAAACATCAATGTAATAGTATAATGTAATATTAAAACATCAATGTTAATAAGTAAATTCTTTTTTTCAAATAATTAAATTTTCAGAACTTTTCATACAACTTTTCATTGATTTTTATTGCTGTAAAATTATTATTTGATATTAACATCAATTTATATGAATAAAAATAAGCTTATCTACACTCATAGTATTTCTGTCCTGATCAATGATAAGTTATAAATTTTATTGTGTAATTAATTTTATGATCCTTTTTTTTACGGAAATACGTCAATATAAGCTCAGTATTCAGAACGCGCTAACAAAGTTCCACAGGCATGTCTGTCGAATATCAATAGACAGTTTCAAAGCATATTCCAACGCGATTGGTTAATCATGCGTATAGAATTTTATCAGAACATTGTGAATATAGAAATCGTGAATTCTCAATTTCAATGTATGATTGATTTCTATTAGCTTTTATATAACTGTTTTGTAAATTTGGATATTGTTAAATCTATATTTTAACACATCCAAGCTATTGTTAACGAAGAAATAAAATGTGTATATTAAAAATACTTCTTTGAAAAGGAGATACGAGATTAATAAGATTAAGAAGAATATTATATATGTATATTCAAATTACGTGCATTTTGACTCATTCCATGTAATATAAAATTAAAAATAATTTTTTTTATAGTAATAAGGAAATGATAAGATATATAATGCATAGTGCGTAAATATGATGTAAATGAGTACCTCTGAAGAACACTGGCGTGTATCTTTTTCTGAAACATTTCAATTTTGTACAATATTTATATAAGATATTTAGTATAGTTTGAAAACTAAACAAATTTCTGCAGACAGGACAAAATGCTGCAACATGGTCCGAATGGCGACAAAAGCAGCTGCATTCCAGTTGCGCAGAAGTGCATCTCGAATGCGGCCGGTCGGCTGCGCAACATTCCGCAATAGCTGCGGTCATTTTCAACACGCTGGGTTAGCCAGGAATGTTAATAGAAAATACTCGGTGTCTCCAGACTTTAATTATGAGGCGCGAATGGTGATCGCGAGAGAGTCGGGCCGGAGTAAGGAGTAAAGTCGGGCGGGATGGTGGAAACAGCGCAAGAAGGAAGAAGGGTAGGAGCGCCCACCCCTGTGAAGTCTCGAATTACACAGAGGGTGAAAATCGTGTCGCTTGTTCAACGGAAGCGTCGCGTTTACAACGAAGAAAGTGTTGAGAATTGCCAAGATCTGGGACTGCTCGCGAGATATTGGAACAAAACGGCAACTCGGAGGAATCGTAAACGTCTTAAAGAAAATGCGTTGCACGCGGAGAGAAAAAAACGTGGAGAATTAAAAGACGGACTGCGAGAAGAGAGAGAAAGAGAGAGAGAAAAGGAGAGAGAGAAAAAGATAGGAGGCGGGAAGGGGAGAATTGAAATAAATCGTGGAAAAGATAGCAAAAATGTTGAAAAAAAGAAAGATAAGGTCATGAAGCGCAGGATAGATCGTTGTGAAATCTCGCTGTAAAATTCCAATTCTTCCCTTTTATGCGACTTTGCGCCAAGTCGATTTTCAAGGTTGATCTTTGAAACAAGCCGCGGGTGCCGCAACGTTAAATTCGCGATTAAAATGCATTGCGTAAAATCAGAGAGACGGCCTGCGCTCCTTTCGTTCTCTGCATGGCGAGTAAATTACATAGCGCCGTCAATCCGGCTCGGATTTCTCCAAAGCCCCCCGGTTCACGCGAGACGGAGCAAAGCGGAATAAGGGGAAGTAGAATTGCGCAAGGCTCAACGAAGCAAGTTGAGCAAGGAATGGAAGGATGCGCGACATCCCAAGGAACGAGGTAAAACCAGAGCTGGAAAGTGGACCAAGAAAAATGAGAAAAGCGAAGCGCGACAGTACGAAACGAAGTAAACCGAAGCGGGGCAATGCAAAGAAATTAAAAGAAACGGAGCAATGCAAAGTAAACGGGAATATAGTAGAGAGAAA